ACCACTTAGAAATAAAACATAGTTTCTAGACTAAAATGAAATCAAGGTGATAGTTAATAGACTAAAAATTGAATTAAGCCAACATATAATATGAGAATTTTGGTCTTTGATTTGCACATCTTCTAGATAATAAACCTAAAATTAACAACTAGAGTAATGTAAATAATATGTTTACTCATTTCTTCATTAAGTTATATTTCACTAGTGCTATGTAAGAAAAAAAATGATAACATGGCATGTGAATGTCCATCCCACATTAATTTTAATTTGAAAATAAAATTAATTTTTATTTATTCTACCTCTCTCCTCACATCAAAACTCCTCCTTTAGACATAGTTGTTGGGTTCTCATCACCTATATCTTCTTAATGATAATGGTAATGTTAGCCCCAAGTACCATTCCTATTACAAATAAAACAAAAGACCTACAAACATTAACACCCAATAAGCGAAAATTGGGAGTTTTGAAGGAGACCTATAGTAGTTCAATGGAAAATTCTACATTGATTAGATATGGGGTTCTCTTATGGGAAGGTAAATGGTGGAGGAGGGTATAAGAAGAGGGAGAAGTTGGAGAAGGGTGCAAGATAGGGGTGAAAGAAGTAAAAATTAATTTTGTTTAAAATTGTAAAAAATGCAAGGCCCACATGGCATATAGTCATTTTTATCTTGAAATGACACTGACGAAGTGTGACTTAGCAAATAAATAAGTAGATATGTTACTTACGTTACTTTCGCTGTTAATTTTTGAGTTTATCACCTACAAAACGTGTAGTTTATGGGCTAAAATTCTCATATTGTATGTTGAAGGGCAAAACCCTTAAAGACAACAAGTTTGAGGGCGCCAAGTCAACTTCTTTCATCTCTATTGGTCTAACTTGGACCATTTTTCCTCCAACGTGGCAATGACATGGCACTGAGTAGGCATAGGTTAACGGGTTAGGGATAGATGTGACTAACTGCCATCAATCTTGGGCCAAAACCTCCAAAGACAACAAGTTCAATGGCTAAATAATAAACATTGTTTGTTGGGGGGTTAAAACCCTCAATGATGACAAGTTGGAGGGGGGCACAAGGGGTTAAGCCACATTAAGCCTATAATTAGTAAATTATAATTTAATACAGTTTAGATGATAAAATATCATAGTCATAGAAAGTAAGAAAGAATAGTATTATAGTATCTAGGATAAAAAAAAAAATCAACAATATCTTTATATATATATATTGAATTGTACAATAAGAAATAACTATTTCTTATCTTTTAATTTACCTAATTCGTATTCCACGTGACTCGAATTCAGAAACTCTTATTTCTAATGGGAAAAAATTATCACTAAGTTTCTTAAATTGTTAGCAAAAATCATTGGTATCTTAGTTCAACATTCTATTAATTAGAATTTTAAAAAGGTCTCATTTTCAAATTCCACCTTATAAATTTTAAGTTGATTTTTTTGTAAATAAATAAATAAAAAGTTTAGAGATATATAATGAGTTTTCAAATTTAGATATCAACATTTATAAAGAGAAGATTTTAGTTTCCAAATGTATGTTAGGATTCCAAGTATTTTTAGAAGTTGGGGCCTGATACACACAAACCTCAAAAGTTTAATGAATATCAACCTAGTTTTAATAAAGATGATGATAAAAAACTAAAACAATCTTACTTTTGTTTTAAAAATTGTGATATCTTAGTTTTTTTTTTTTTTATTAAAATGATATAGTTTAGAAATATTTTTTTACCTAATTTTTTTACAATATAAATTTTTTGGTATTAACCTCCCGGTATCTGGTAATCACATTGAGTTTCAACTAATCCG